AGTGCAACACACAGAGTAAGGGTAAGTGTTATTTTGTGACAGTTGTTGCAGTTATGTGTATGTGTACCCACAAAAGGTCAAAACGTTAAATGATTTATTATTGTGAGTCATGGTCTAAAACGTTTGAAAGCCACTGTTCTATAGTACCTATCATATAATAATGCTTAATACTCTATGAATGCTTGCTGAATGAGCAAACTGATAAGTATGAAACAATCCATTTATCACAACTTCAAAGGTTCCAATTTGAAAGAATATAAAGTATAATGCCTATCTGAACAAAAGTAGATGGATTCTGGCCTATGGGAAGCTATGGGGGGGTGCGGTAAGAGAAATCGGAATATTTCTATTGTATTTCGATGGACTTTTCCAATAACTAAAATGTTTTATATTTAAAGAAGATTAAAGACAATTTTGTCCAACTTCATTTGTAAAACTTTTCCCATTCACTGAAACTACCTACTGATTACAAAAGTTCTGCATCTTTAAAATGCTTGGTATAGGTAATTCCATCATGATTCATAAAAGGATCTTTCAGAGAGAGCATGAAAGCCTTTGTTCAAGTTCTTTCTTTGCCCAAATACCCCGACCCCCACCATCTGTAAAAATCCCATTCATCTTCCAAGGCTTAGTTCAAAGGCCACGTTTTCCATGGAAGCGTTTTGTTGTTGTTGTTGTTGTTGTTTTAACTCAATTTTTCCTCTTTCTTCCTCTACCAGCCACCCTCGTCCCAGATACGGTCTTTCTGAACCACCAGGGTTGAAAACTTCCTTTTTTATTTGTATACTCATCTCATTCCCCACTAGATAATCACATGTATAACCCACAGTTCACTCATCTTTGTACTCCTTATAGCAATCAGCACAAGGTCTTATACTTAAGAAATTATCAATTAATATTTAAGTGATCAGGGGCGCCTGGGTGGCTCAGTGGGTTAAGCCGCTGCCTTCGGCTCAGGTCATGATCTCGGAGTCCTGGGATCGAGCCCCACATCGGGCTCTCTGCTCAGCAGGGAGCCTGCTTCCTCCTCTCTCTGCCTGCCTCTCTGCCTGCTTGTGATCTCTCTGTCAAATAAATAAATAAAATCTTTAAAAAAAAAAAAAAAAAAAAAAAAAAAAAAAAATATTTAAGTGATCAAATTAATATTAAAGTGAACAAATATTTAAGTGAACAAATTAAAGTAACGGTTAGCATGTTAAAAGGGATGGGCATTATTTTAAAGGCCCTAAGGAAAGGCATCTATGTCCACCAGCTTATCAAAAGCTGGTGGAGAACAGGAAGGAGCAGATGGCAAAAGAGTGAGAGTTTGACAAGAGGTGCTGTTCCTCAGGCTATTAGCCACTGCAAACTTACTGAATCCCCAGCTCTTTGGAGACCCAACTCTACCCAATGAAGCTATGGAGTCAGGTGCAGGATAAGTGCCTTCACCTTGTTCCAAGAGTTCTACTCTGGCTTTAAACCAGAAATGGGAAGTGAAATTAGAAGTAGAAATTAGGGCTACCCTTTTCAACTTTAAGGCTGAAAGGAAAAACTGAAAGAGCTATCTAGTCCAAAAGGCCTCCTTTGAAAAATAAGCATGGGTGTTTGGGCAGAATGGGGCGCAGGTACAAGGAGGTAGAGGAGATAGTTCTTGAATTACTTGATTTTTTCGACAATACTGAGCTTTTTTCTTCAGACTGTCTATACAGTCATTTGGAGGCACTTTTTGTGACCACTAGACTCAGCTAGGTCTGGTTCAAAGCCACAGTCACAACTAATAAACCGCAAGTTTTTGGGGGGAGCGGGGAGAAACAATGCATACCAACTGGAAAGAACTATTAGGAATTAAAATACCATTCTCCTTTGCCATTAACCTTCCCCCACACTATACAAAGAAACATTTTTTCCTAAGATGAACTAAAACAAGGTTTTAGTGTTTATTTTAAATTTATAGATATTTATAAGTTAACTCATGTCGGGCAGACATGGTTTGCTAAATCATGTTTTGGTTTTTTTTTTCAGATTTTTAATTTAAGATCAGAATCTTTAGGGTTCTGACCTTCTCTCTCATTGGTATTTTAATAGAACCTTAACTTCCAGTCCATCAAGGTTTTGTTTTGTAATTAACTTCAGAGCCGCCCTCATAAACTGGGAGACATCCGCAGTACTGTAGAAAATGCACACGGTTTAGAGTCAGAAAACTGAGTTTTGAGAAGTTAATGGTTGGTTCCAAAAAGGCTGCTCCATTTCTGGATGTGTGACCTTGGGTCGATTACCTGATCGTCTCCACCCTCAATGTGCCAATCTGTAAAATGGGAATAGTAACAGATAATGCTTCCTAGGGTGGTTGTAAGGGCTAAATGAGCTACAACATGTAATGCTCTTAGAACTGTGCGTGGTAAACGGTAAGCAATCAGCCAATGTTAGTTTAAAAATTTTGCTCTCAGGGCACGCGGGTGGCTCAGTCAGTTAAGCGTCTGCCTTTGGCTCAGGTCATGATCTCAGGGTCCAGGGCTCCATGCTCAGCGTCATCTGTTTCTCCCTCTCATCCTGCCCCTCCTCCTACCACTTGTGCACACACATGCGCACACTCTCTTTCTCTCTAATAAATAAAATCTTTTTAAAAAATTCCTCTCTCATTTGTTTTATGGTCTCAGTAGTGTCCTTTTACCGTTCAAAAATTCCATTTCCTTATCTATAAAATGGGACTCCTATAATTTATCACCTCCAAGATTATAAGATTCAAATAAGAAAAAAATGGATAAGAAAACATGTGACACACAGAAAGTACTCAAATGTTAGTTATTTTGGATCACTTATAAACTTATAAATAAACCATAACACTGAGTTAGAAAATACCATGCAAAAACTCATCCCTAAATGGAGAACATATCTATGTTAGAAATGCATCCTCAAGAAGGATGGTTTATCATTAACTTATCAGAAATATATAAGCTTTTGTAAAATGTAAATGTTACATCTGCAAACTAGAAACACGCTCTGTCAAGCCAAAACTTCCCACTATACTGTAAGCAAGAAAGCCTGCACATCTTCATAAGCCAAAGATAAACTGATGCACTGATTAAATGCCGATTGCATGTACAGCAACTTTTTAAAAATGCTTAATTTCTTTCATTTAAAAAAAAATGTAAATTTCAAGTCAATGCAACAGATATTTACTGTGTAACTGTGCTCCAGGTAACCGTAACCCAGCTGGCAGCTAAGGGTGCAAAGAGAAATAAAGCTTAGACCCTGTGCTGGAAAAGCCCACATATTAGAGCTGATAATTTCAAAATATTACTTGTAAAAGTCATGAGGGGGTTTCAATTTGAATCAGCAAACTGACAAGCACCATAAAAACATGCCAAAGCAGTAAGTTCTTCCCTTTGACTGAAACACTGTCTTTTAAAAGCAAAAGTCATCTCTCAAGCACAGTTTCTATCTAGAAAACTATTGAATTTGTGCCAGAAACTGACGTTTCTAAATGTAAACCTGTAAAATAATAGGTATCTGTAAATGAAAGGCTGAAATAACCCCAGGAGCAACAAGACAGTAATTAGCAACTTTTATAGAGTAATAACGTGTTTCATATTCTTTCTACACTGGCTCTTTGAAGTTTCCAGTGTAATGTATAAAAGTTTTATTACATTAGGGCCCATCCTTGTGTATTTTATAAGCACCAGCATTATGCAGAGCAAGCTGTAGTTACTCATCAACAGATCTTTTATAAGAAACTGCTCAATAATGCACTAGCTTTGTGTCCAGTTTAGTTTGTTACACCTGGCTTTAGAAAGATAAAGTCACTAGAAGGCTATCACTGGAAAAAATCACTGGAAATAATCCACATATCATCCACATAATCTATAAATCTTAGAGCAGTTTAGCTTTAAAATTGTACATTGCATATTCATGTGCACACCACTTGCAGTTTTCGACACATGTGAACTCTTTACTGAATTAAAGCAAAAAAAAAAAAAAAATTACCAGAGGCAGAACAGAGTGCAGTTAATATGCTTGTTCCAGCAGATGTTCATTCCCGTAAATATTAAACATAAAACAAGTTCCTCCAGGAATATGCGGGCAGTGATTTTACCACCTGAATAGGGCTGGTTGGAAACATTTAGGGGTGGGGGGGGAATAAGAGGGATGCCGAAGCAGCCAATGGGATTTTTAAGAAACCCGCAACGAGAATTAAACTGCTTCTAGCGGCGATTTACCTACAGCAGCTCCTCAACGTGAGAACGCGGAGCAACAGATCCCGGAGTGCTTCCCTGGCCGCCCGCTCCCCAGGCTACGAGCTGTGAGCGCGGAATAAAGGGACACGCGGGGCGCCGGGATGGGGAGGAGTACAACTGTAGTGAGGTGTGAAGAAAGAGCCCAAAGGAATTGCGAACCTCGAGGAAATGAGTCTCCCTGGGCCAAGGCCTCTGGAATTCCCGCACGGAGAAACACTCGCCCCCTGCCCCCGGTATTCACTTTCCATCTCGGGTGGGAGCGGGTAGGAGACAGAGAAGATGCAGCCTCCCAGACCCGGCGCCTCCAGGGAGGAGGCTGGAGCATCCTCTAAGGGCACTTCGCAGCAGCACCAACTCCAGGGGGTCGCTGGTGTGAACCAGAGGCTCTTAAAGAAGAGGGAGGGCGAAAATGAAGCGAAGGGAGGTGAGAGGGGCTGGGGGCCGAGGGGTGGATCCCCAGGCACTAGTGACACGTTCTAGAAATCAGGTCTTTTTCTCTCCATGGCTGCGCTCTGCCCCCCGGCTCCCCAGATCACCAGCGCCTGGGCTGGGGCGGGCAGCACCGGGAGAGAGAACAGGAAAGAGGGCAAGAAGACGGGGAGGCGGCCGTGCATCCACCCAGGGGAGACAGGAAGGAGTCGGCGAGGGCCCCGGGGGCGCCCCCGACCCACCCCACCCCCATGGCGGCCGACCCCTCCTAGCCCCCAGCCCAGGTAAGGGCGCGCGGGCCGCCGCGGCCGCCCCTCGCCACTCCCGCCTGCTCAGGCGGCCGGCACAGGGACTTACCACAGCGACTCGAGGTCCCATTCCTGGAGCAGGGCTAAGTCGAAGCTGTCCATGGTGGGAGGTGTCAGCGCCGCCGTCGCCGCCGCTGCCGCCGAGGCTCGGGCCGCCCGCGCGCTGCAAGGAAAGGCGCCGCTCAAGGTGCATCCCGGCCGCGCCGGAGCGGCCGCCGCCCGCCCCCTACCCGCCCCCGGGTCGGGCTTCCCCGCGTCCCCCGCCTCCGACTCCCAGCCCTTCGGGCGGGCGGTAGCGGCCGGCGCACTCACCCGCTCTTCGGCTCGCGCGCAGGCACACTCAGGAGAGAGCCGCGAGCTCGCCGCGCCGCCGCCACCGCCTCGCCCCCCTCCCTCCCCGCGCCCGCCCCTCCTCCCTTCCTCCCCTCCCTCCCGGCGGCCCAGCCCGCTGCAGCCGCCGCCGCCGCCGCCGCGGTGCTCTGCGCCCGCCCGCCCGCCTCTTTCTCCTCGGGGAGGCGCGTGTGCGCGGGCGAGGCCGAGGCGCGCGCGCGCCCTGAGCCCCGCGCCGCGCCCGCCCCGCGCGCCCCTGCGCTCTCCGCGCGGCTCCCCGGGGTCCCGCGGCGCTCGCAGGCCGCGCCGCCCCCTCGCCCCGCGACCCCGCCACCCGCCTGACCCGCTGCCGCCCGGGGCCGCCCGGGGCAGTCCCGCGAGTCGGGGCGAAGGGAAAGGCTATGGTGCGGAGCGCAGGGGGATGCTGAGCCGGGCCCGGCCGGCTGCATCTTCTGCCTTTCGCCCTCGCCCGACCCCACCCGGCCCTGCCCGGGCTGCACGCACTTCTCTTAGGGCCCAGAATTCCCCCGACCCTGCCAGGTGCCCCCGCGGGCGGTGTGCTGGCTGCAGCCCTGGGGGGGTGGGGGGTGCTAGGAAATTCCCTGGCCGCCCCAGGCACGGGAGAGTTAACTGAACTGCCTGCAGCTGCGCTGTAAACAAATCGTTTAAAATATCTGGAGTCAATAAGTTAAGTGAAAGGGAGGAAACCTCTTCTGACAGGACCTGCAGTATGGCCTACAGTGGGGGTCCCACCGTCCTCCAACTGGCCGTCCCTGAAAACTAACCTCCTTTCTTTTTCTTTCTTACGGGGGTGGGGCAGGCCTCTGGGTGTAGACTGCTAACTTCTCACCCCATGTCCTGAGTGACAAAACTGTCAGCTGGAGGATGATAGAGTATCATTGTGGCTCCTAAAATTCAGGTCTTTTTTTTATTATTACTTCCTTGATTGTAAAGAACCCCCCCTCCTCACTTTTACAGACATGCTGAGAAGTCCATGCCTAGATCAGGGCCATGGCTCTGTTTATCCACAGCTGGCCAAAATCAAAACACCTCCTCAGTTCCCTGACTCTCTCATCCTCTTGGCCACAGTTCTGGAAGCCTCACTCAGGATTCTAGAGAATTCCTGGAGAGAGTGGCACAGAGCATTGTGGTTATATCCCATCACTTGCACCAAACCCCCAATTTCCTGCAGCACAGAAGTCCTTTCCCATACTCTCCCCTTTCTTTGTTCACTCTCAACAAGAAGGACCACCGATTGGAGCTACCAGAAATCTAGACTCTTCTGTGAAAGTCACAGGATCCCTCCAAACCTCCTCACCTCGCTGACCTCTGAATGAGGATTATTAGCAAATGAAGTTTTGAGAACACATAGAAGAAGAAAAGATCAATGAGAATGCTAACCTATTTGGGATCCGATTACAAAATGCTCAGCCCTCCTTTCTTCCCCTAGCTCTGAAGTACTTTCCTTTATTAGCATCCATAACTAGTGTGCAAATGTAAAACAATAAATTAAGAGAGAGTATTAACATAGTTTGAGAAAATGGCTTTGTTATTTTACAAACTGACAACTCCCAGTCCCTAAAAACCTCCCGCATTAGTTGAAGGTTGTAAGGAAGGCTACAACTGAACAAAGAGAATGTGAATAGAGGAGAAAGTACAGGTGTGAAGGGCTGTCTTCCCAAATCCCAGCCTACAGTGCATTTGGAGAGAAGAAAAAAAAAAAAATCTGTCTTCCTAATGTCTCCTTAGCATAATCCTTGTTGGAAATGTTTGCTCTGGCAAAAGTGAGATGCCTGAGACATCCAGACAGCATTCCTAGGAACAAAGGATGGGGGTGGAGGAGAGTGAGAAGAACAGCCCCTCTCTGGAAGAACTGCAAGTTCCTTGGCCTGAACAAGAAATGCATCCTGTCCTGTGCTCATGGCTGCAGCCTGGAAGCTTCTCCAGAAAGGAGACCTCCCACCCCTTACAGAGACCTGGCTTTCCTTCCCTTCCCACCACATCTGTTTATACAAAGGAGGGCAGCTGGAGAACAAACAAAACCATGTTTACTGGGAGTCCCATCCTAAGCTTGAAGCTTAAGATACAGATTTGCCCTCACTACGGAGGCTGAAGATAAATAGATGGCCCAGGAAAAGGAAAGAGGGAAAGCACTGCGGGGTATAGAGCTGGTGGAGTGGTTTACTCATAAAAGGCCTCTCCCCAAAGCCTCATAGGAATGGTAGATTGGTATTTGAATTTCAACACAGTGCCTCGTGTTAATATATGAATGTACTTGAGCCTAAAGCAATTTCAGTGTGGGTATTTAAATATTTTTCTTCAGGAATAGCCTTTATTTTCTGTTTGGGGCCTCCCAACGTAGGGGAAGTTGCATTAATACTTTCATTTCCAGTGTATGTTTTTGTGTATAGTATCCAGTTGGAGAATATGGTCTTTTGAAGAAGCCCAAATCATACTCATAGATATCATTTTTACTAAGTTGTCATAGAAAATAAATCTAAATAATATTTACAAGGAAAATGTAGAACAGTTAATGAGAGCCTTTATATGGTGATATTTTTATTATTTTTTTATTAATCTTTTTATTTTTAAATTATTTTTATTTATCTGGTATAGCAAGATTTTTGCCATTGTATCAAAACAAGTGCTTAATCCAGTTGTCAAAATTTTAAATTCTTAATAAAAAGCAAAAAAAGTTTGGACTTCCCAGGATTAGAAATTCCAGAACTAAAAGGGAGGTTTGGAGGTTTTGGTTTTGGTTTTGGTCTGTTTGTTTGTTTGTTTTTTACTTGTAAAGGAATAGGGACTACCTAAATTAAAAATAAAAATAATAAAAGCTAGTGTTTCCTCTGAAGGGGGTGGAGCTTCTGTGCATATTAAAGACCTGGTGACTTAAGGGACTCTTCTCTGGGGACAGAGGCAGATAACCCTCCAGAGAATGAAACCCCCCAGCTCTGGAGTCTGCAGAGCTCCAGCGAGGAGTTAGCTGAGGGAGGAGCTTTGGCTCCCCGATCATGGGTGTTTTTCTGAGTTAAATCTATGAATGGAAGGGACTGAAAAATGAATCCTCCTCAGTCTGCGGCAGGCCTACAAGTGCACTCAGCAAGGGTCCCACTCATATTCCACCAACCTGAAGTTAAAAGCCTCCAAAACAGACTCAGAAGCAAATCTGTGGCATCCACCTAAGATCTGCTTCTGGATACAAACTGAAAGGAGAGAGATCTAGCACGGATTTTATTAATTCATGCTTTATTCTGAAGATGTGGCTGCAACTCAGGTGACTGGATGGGAATTTTCCTTTTATAATCCCACCGTTCCGCTAGAAAAATACACCTGGCTAAAAGTCAGATGGGCAGGCCGTCTTGCCAGAAGGTCAGAGGAGCCCCCACCCCATGTCATACAGCATTATTTGTCACTGCACCTTCTCTCCTGTTCCAGCAAGGCTGCAGACATCATAGTCCGCTTCTCTCAGAGGTTTCTTGAGTGATTCTAACTGTATCTAGGGATTGCAGGATAAACCCCCTAGGCTTTCTGCTTGCAAATTACATGCTAATATGTCAAGCTCCAGGGCAGCTTGGGTTTTAATCCACCTCGGAGTTCTAATGTCTTCAGGCCTTTCCCTCTGCACTGGTATCTGAGTGGTTCTAGCCTGGGATTTGAGGTGCCTCTCTTTTTCTGTGATTTTTTTTTTTTTTTTTCATCATTTACCAGGTCCCGAGCAGATGGTGTGGCTGTGCTGGCTGTCATCACTCCTCCTATGTTGCCATGGAAACACGGGGCATAGGGACCATCTCTGCCTTGGGCTCTCTGACAGTATCCTCTAGCAGAGAACTTCAACACTCTGGCCCCCTCCCCCTTGCCTGCCCACATCCTGCAGAGTTTGAGAAGGACTTGTGGCCCTGGTAGCCAGGGTCATTTCAGAGATCATCTGAGGACATGTTCCCCACAAGTGGTTGTGAACTGACTGCAAAAAGAAGGGGGAGGGGAAGGAGTGCTGATAGCCTAGTTGTGCAGCAGTTGTGTTGCAATGGTGGCATATTTGGATTTTCTGTCCCCTCAGCCAGATGCTGTCATGGCTGGTTATTGCCCAGACGTCAAAAGAGATGCTCCTAAGGTTGCATCTGCTCATCAGGCAAGAGACTTAATGAATGTAAGCATGTTACTAGTGTTTTATACACTTTATTGACAGGCTACCTCCTCCAAGTGCATTCCTTTTTTTTCTTTGTACAAAACCAGGTTTTCTCTAAGGAATGTATGTACCTTCCTCAAACTTTCCAACATCCTCCTGCCTACATAATTCACTTATATAGCCACTGAGACATTAATTAGATTCAGAAGTCCATGGAAACAGCAGAGTTGGTCAGGGTCAGAGGCCAGGCAGGGCAGAAAAAAGAGCGGGGAAAATGACCCCTTGGGAGAGGGGTAAGGAAGCAGAGGGAAATTTTTCATGCCATTCAAGTACCAAATAAGACAAATTTCAAAATGTGGTTAACTACCATAACATTGTTTAGAGATTTAAAGTATTGTCCAATTTAAGAGTTCTTTAAAAAAAAAAAAAAAGTTAATTGGGTAGAAGAATTCCGTGCATGTGTCTTCGGTGTTAGTTGCTCCTTATATAGCTGGTACAAAAGACTAGTGCGTGAAGCGCACCATGTTTTACAAAAGAAAAGAAAGCAGGCATATCTACTGAAGACGAAAATACTGGCAGAAAAGGCATATGCTAGTTATAAAAGTAGATCAGAAAAGTATTCCTTATCACAGATCCTGTATTTCATGCCACACTGACCTACTTGGGGGATAATCCCCT